TCCCTCCCGCGGCCCCATGAATGTCAGCAGCTGGGAGAAAAAGCCAGACAGCTGTTGGCTATTTCAAATTACAATAACCAATAGCAGGCTGACTATTGAAACCCTTTGTTTACATTCTGCTACCGGCCGCGGCAGAAAAATGTAAACAAATAATTTTGTTAACAACTAAATACATTTAGTTGCTAACGAAATGTATTAGTCTCCTCATTTTTATCAAGCAACAGCAAAAAAATCGAGGACATATTATACCCTTTTTTTTTTTGGCGGTTGCTTGAGAGTGTTGGTTGCTAGAATGCTGCATAATGGGGAGTTTACTGTACTTTGCTGGGCAATGCGTATTTGTTTGATCAGAATTCATTATTAACAAAAAAGTTTGAGAGTTTGATGCTACTTTAAGTATCTTTATCCTCTTTCCTGGTTTAATTACAGGAGCACACAGTGGAGGACATGTATTAATTTTGAGGCACATCAAGGCCATGCTAAACAGGACTAAATACGCAGATACACCACCACACCTCATATGTCACCTTGAGTTCCTCTAAATTTGCAGCTAATTTGTTAATGTACAATAGAAAAACAGCCAGTGAAAATAAAACACCAAATGCTAAAAAGCTGTTAACTGTGATATTTTGGTTTTATTATTATTATTATTATCAACTTTAGTAACAATTCCATATATCTGAGCATGACCTGTTGTCCATGCAATAATCAGGATTACCAATAAATATTATATTCTGCTAAGGAAAGTAAAAGTAGATAGTTAAGGTAGTAATGTTACTTCATGAACTTGCCTGCACGGTCCCCTCCTGGCCAAGGGTCAACAGTCTTGCATAATAGCCTGCTTCATTTGTTTGGCTGCTGGTAGATGATGTAAGTGAAGGGAGGGCGTTCAGCCCCACACTCCGGGCTGGCTGCCTATAAATACAGAGCTTCTGTGTGTTGTGTTTAGATCTACTCCTGACTCTGAGCAGAGTTCTTGCTTCAACAGTGCTTGAACGGAACCCTCTCTGAGTCTTTTGCTCTTTTTTTAAACATCTTCTACTAATTGCTGACTTTCTGTGACTTCTTTGCGCCACCCAAAACAACTGAAAGGCTGAAATGGAGTCCCAGGTGCGACAGAACTTTCAGAGCGATTGCGAGGCTGCCATCAACCGTATGGTGAACTTGGAGCTGTACGCCTCCTACACCTACAGCTCTATAGTGAGTATTATTACGATACTGTATATAAGATATATTTCTTACTGCCCTTTCCTTATGCCTAGATTTTGTTGTATTTAATTTAACTTATTAGTCAATGTTGTTTGCTACAGCATTTATGACACTATAAGACTTATCATCTAGCAAAATGACATTCATGTTTTAATGCATATTTTTGAATTTGACTATAAAATGATATACTGTGAGGGGAATTTAGCAAATTTGGAGTAGACAAAATCTGGAGCAGCTGTGCATGACAACCAATCAACATCCACCTTTCATTTTAAAATAGGGCTGCGGAAATTAACGATTAATCCTTCGATTAATCGTAAATTTTTTTGATCGATCAAAGTTCTTTTGATCCATACTCACCTCTCCGCCGGCTTCCAGGTCTTCCGTCGATGTCCGCAACGTCACCGGACTCCTCCCCCCTTCCACAAGTGGCTCTGTCGGCTAACGAAGGGAAGGGGGTGGAGTCCGGTGACGTCGATGTCCGTGACATCACTGGACTCCTCCCCCTTTCCTTCGTTACCCGATGGAGTACACAGTGAGTACACAGCCTAACTCTCCCGGCCGCCCGGGAGAGTGGTTTAATCTGCTCTCTCTTTTTACCGGAGAGGTGAGTATGGATCAAAAGAACCTTGATCGATCAAAATAATTTTGATCGATCAAAAAAATAACGATTAATCAAAGGATTAATCGTTAATTTCCGCAGCCCTAGATTAAACCTTTCCCTGCGATCGTTTTTTTTTTTTTTCTTTTCTGACATCGGGAGTCGTCAGTCAGAAAAGAAAAAAAAAGGCATACGATTGCATAGCTAGATTCCTATTGGCTATTGCACTTTGCAATAGCCAATAGCAAACTAGCTAATGCACCCGCCCACTGCTGTTGTCAATCAGCAGAGGGGGACCTGATTTTTTTTTCTATCAGGTCCTCTTCTGGTGATTGAAAGCAGTAGGGGGCGGGTGCAATAGCTAGTTTGCTATAGGCTATTGCAAAGTGAAATAGCCAATAGGAATCTAGCTATGCAATCCTATGCCTTTTTTGTTTTTATTCTGACATATGCAACTGGCAGAATACTAAAAAAATAAAAAGTCTGCAGATAGCAAAGAAGCTATTGCTTCCTGTGCTATCTGCCATCATTTCAGGGGGGTGCTCTCTCCCAGCCCCCCTAACCCACCCTCCGCGGATGGGGGGGGGAGAGGGCACCTCCCTGAAACAGAGGGACACCTCCCTGAAATTGCTTATTTCAGGTTGGGATCCCTGGCATTGACCTATACACATACAGCATAGCAATTCATTAAGTAATAAAATGAACTAGGATCACACTAATCCAGCACGTTATTATTCTGAGATGCCCCACTAAAGTGGCGGCCATATTGAGTGGGGCACGTGAGAATAATAACGTGCTGGATTAGTGTGATCCTAGTTCATTTTATTACTTCATTGCTGTGCTGTATGTGTATAGGCCAATGTAGTTGGATCTGTATGTGCGTTATAATTAATCTAAATTAATCGATTAATCGATTTAAAAAATATCGATAAATCGAACAGGAAACATTTTTATTTATTACCAGCCCTATTTTAAAAGCTTAAGTGAACAAACTGAAGAAAGAAGTTGCCATAAACAACTGTTCCAGATTTTGTCTGCCCCAGTTTTGATAAATGCCCCCCTGTGTGTCCTAAGATCCTTGTCTGAAGCGCGCCCAGCAGGGACAGGAAGCGCGCCCAGCAGGGAGAGAGCGCGCGCCTCTGTTTTTAACCTTAGTGTGAGACAAGTTTTTTACATGCTAGCTTGTGAGTGTGCCAGGAAAACTTTTTGCTATTTTACAGCAGGGAGAGAGCGCGCGCATAGAATGGAGAGAAGGAGCGGATAGGGGGAGAGAGAGAGGGCGCAGAGGAGAGAGAGGCAGAGGGCGCTCATAGAAGGGAGAAAGAGAGAGGCAGAGGGCGCAGAGGAGGGAGAAAGAGAGAGGCAGAGGGCGCATAGGAGGGAGAGAGAGAGAGAGAGAGAGGCAGAGGGCGCATAGGAGGGAGAAAGAGAGAGACAGAGGGCGCATAGGAGGGAGAAAGAGGGGGGGCAGAGGAGGGAGAAAGAGAGAGACAGAGGGGACGCATAGGAGGGAGAAAGAGAGAGACAGAGGGGGCGCATAGGAGGGAGAAAGAGAGAGACAGAGGGGGCGCATAGGAGGGAGAAAGAGAGAGACAGAGGGGGCGCATAGGAGGGAGAAAGAGAGAGACAGAGGGCGCATAAGAGGGAGAAAGAGAGAGACAGTGGGCGCATAGGAGGGAGAAAGAGAGAGACAGAGGGCGCATAGGAGGGAGAAAGAGAGGGTGCATAGGAGGGAGAGAGAGAGAGAGAGAGACAGAGGGCGCATAGGAGGGAGAGAGAGAGAGAGGGAGCATAGGAGGGAGAGAGACAGAGGGCGCGTGGGAGGGAGAGAGAGAGAGAGAGGGCGGATAGGAGGGAGAGAGAGAGACAGAGGGCGCATAGGAGGGAGAGAGAGAGACAGAGGGCGCATAGGAGGGAGAGAGACAGAGGGTGCATAGGAGGGAGAGACAGAGACACAGGGAGCATAGGACGGAGAGAGAGAGAGACACAGGGAGCATAGGACGGAGAGAGAGAGAGAGGACACAGGACACATAGGAGAGAGAGAGAGAGAGAGAGAGAGAGAGAGAGAG